TTTCAATCTTCTTTGTTTTCAGCAAGCAAGGCTGTATCATCTGCATTTTGCAGGTTGTTAATGATGCCACACTCTTCTTCATATAATCCAGTTTCTTAGATTATTTGCTCAGCATATAGATTGAATAAGTACGGTGAAAGAATACAACCCTGACTCACACCTTTCCTGATTTTAAAGCATTCAGTGTACTCTGTTCTATTTGAATGACTGCCTCTTGACTCCTCATGAGCACACTTGGTTCTTCTGGAATCTATTGCTTTTCATGATCTGCACAGCCCAAAGCCTTTGCACAGCCAAGAAAGCACCAGTAAACATCTTTCTGGTATTCTCTGGTTTCAGCCAAGATCCATCTGACATTACCAATGATATCCCTAGTTCCACATCCTCTATGGAATCCAGTTTGAGTTTTTGACAGCTCCCTGTCAATGTACTGTTGTAGATGGTTTTGAATTATTTTCAGCAAAATTTTACTTGCATATAATACTGTTTGATGATTTCTGCATTCTGTTGGGTCACTTTTCTTTGGAATGTGCACAAATATGGATCTCTTCAAGTCCTTGGCCAGGTAGCTGTCTTCCAAATTTCTTGACATAGATGAATGAGCGCCTCCAGTGCTGCATCAGTTTGTTGAACTATTTCAATTTGTATTCTGTCAATTCCTGGGGCCTTGTTTTTCTCCAATACTTTTAGTGCATCTTGGACTGCTTCCTTTAGTACCATCGGTTCAACCTCTTGAAATGGTTGAACATTGACCATTTCTTTTGCATACAGTGACTCTGTGTGTACCTTCCATCTTATTTTGATGCCTTCTGCATCATTCAATATTTTGTCCATGTAATTCTTTAATGTTAAAAGTCAAAGTTTGAATTTTTTCTTCAGTTATTTCAGCTTGAGAAAATGCTGAGCGTTTACTTCCTTTGGGTTTTCTAACTCCAAGTCTTCGCATATTTCATTATTATTAACTGCCCTTTGCAGTTTTCTGTTCAGATCTGTTACCTCCTCATTTTTCCAGCCGCTTTAGCATCCCTTTGGTGGAGAGTCTTTGGATCCAGTGAAAACAAGTTGAACCGGATTAAAGGGTGTGTTCTGGGAAAACCATTTGAGAGAAGCTGAAGGAATGGTGTGGGAAAAGGTTAAAGATTATCTTGAATTTTTGTTGTTGTTGTTAAATGTCTTTCAGGCGGTTCCAATTTATAGAGACCCTGTATAGAGTTTAAACTGCTGACTTTGTGGTTCAAACCAACCTTTACAGCATGTTGCTTTATCCTAAAATGCCCGAGAATTTTAAATTTAACATGAAGTCTTGGAGTCAGTGAGTTTTCTTTAAAAGAAGAACATGTCCTGAGAGGAAGTGATACTTAAGATGAATTAATTTGGCAGCATACTTAGGGACAGGAAACATTTGTATTAATTTAAGGGTGGAGTGGTAGTTTGGGAGCAGAAATGAAAGGGAGAGGTCGATTTAAGAGACAATTTGCAGGGGAAAAAAAAAAATCAATTGAACTTCATGGAGAGAATGAAGTAGAAGTTGTTCCCCAAATTTTTGCATCTGAGTGACTGCATTTGGTCCTCCTTTTGTTTGGAGCCACAGAGGCTGAGAAGGGGAAAGGCTTGGAGGAGGTAGAAGAATGATTTTAAGTTTTGGGATTGTTTAGTTTTCAGTTGAAAGTGCTCCCTGTGTAATTGGAGACCAGGAAGCAAGCTTTGTGAAAGGGATAGCGCTCACAGAGAGAAAGGGGGTGAAGAAGGGAGTGGGACAGCAGGCCGGAACCCTCCGAATGTTTCATTTTTAGATATCTAGTCTTAATGTGTAAGGAGCTCTGGTAGCGTAGTGGTTACGAATCAGGCTGCGAACAACAAGGTCAGCAGTTCGAAACTACCAGCTGTTCTGCGGGAGAAAGATGAGGCTTTCTGCTCCCGTAAAGATTTACAGCCTCGGAAACTCTGTACAGGATCACTATGAGTCGGAACCGACTCTATGACACATAACAACAGCAACAGTCTTAATGTGTAGTGTAGTGGTTACGAATCGGGCTGCGAACCGCAAATTCAGCAGTTTGAAACTACCAGCTATTCCGCGGGAGAAAGATGAGGCTTTCTGCTTGTGTAAAGATTTACAGCCTCGGAAACCCTGTACAGGGTCACTATGAGTCGGAACCGACTCCAGGAGTCCTGGTGTGGCGCTGTGGGTTAATGCGCCAGACTGCAAAGCCATTTGAGCTGCAAGGCCAGTGGTTCAAGCTCACCAGCTGCTCCTTAGAAACCCTCTTCAGGGTCGCTATGGGTCGGAACCCACTCTACAGCACTTAACAACAAGAAGTCTTAATATGTGGAGTCCTGGTGTGGCACTGTGGGTTAATGCGCTGGACTACAAGGTCGCTTTGAACCGCAAGGTCCACGCCTCAAGCTCACCAGCCGCCCCTTGGAACCCCTATACAGGGTTGCTATGAGTCAGACTGACTTGAGCTGTACTTAACAATGAACAATGAATGTCGACGTGTATTGATAAAGGAGTCCAGGTGTGGCGCTGTAGGGTCAGCACAGGACTGCTAACCAGCAGCTCCCGGGAAACTCTGTACAGGGTCACTATGAGTCCGAACTGACTCGACAGCACTTAACAACAACACTATCATATAAATAAATCAATAAATATCTTGATGGCACTTAACAAGTATTGATGAATTTGAACTATGAGCAGTGCTTTCCGCTTCACGAAGTTTCAGTTAGACTAGCATAGGTTATTGTTACGTGTTGCCGCGTTGGTTCTGAGTCATAGCTACTCTGTCTATAACAGAACTCCGGACACATTCATCAACGAAAACAACAACACCACACACAAACATACACAAAAAACCCAAGCCAGGTGCCTCTGGGAGCACTTGAACCTCCAGCGTTAAGATTAGTAGCCAATTTCTTTAACCCTTTGTTCTACCCAAGAAATCCTCACATTGACACACTGATACTACTGCTATATATTTTTCTTTTTCTTTTACACTGTTTTCTTTCTGTTACTGTACCATTTTTGGAAAGAACATAATTTACATGTGTGAGACTTTTCTTGGTTAGTTCTACAATAAAAACCTGTGTAAAAGGAAAACTTGGAAGACCCAGCAAATCAAGGAAACTCTGTTGGGATCTACACTCACAGTTTCCACTGTAATCTTTTTGTGAATACAAAGAGAAGAATATGCTAACTCTAGGGACTTTAAGGAGTCCTGGTGTGGTGCTGTGGGTTAATGCACCAGACTACAATACCATTTGAACTGCAAGGTCAGTGGTTCAAGCTCACCAGCTGCTCCTCGGAAACCCTATACAGGGTCACTATGGGTCACAGCCGACTCGACAGCACTTGACAACAACAATAAGGGACTTTAAACAATACCAAGAAAGTCAGGATATAAAAAGCAGACTGCCTCCAGTTGATTAGAAAAATTATGAACTGGAGTTCCACTTGGATCAGTGATGATCTCGCCATTCCTTGTTGTGCCTAATGTCTGTAAAACCTACTTAAGCCTCAAGGCCTTTTCTAGTTTTAGCCAATGCATATAGTCAGTCAGTATCCACAAGCTTTAGCATAATATTCGTGCTTGGGTAAGGCAGCCAAGTCTCCAGAGCATGAGCATAGACTTTTGTGTACAACTTGAAAGTTGTTGCTGAGGCACGCCTTCTTGGTATTTCTCTTAGGACTTTATTCTCTATAGTCTATAGCATGCCCTTACCTGTAGATGACAAAGGATTGCTCAGATATCATTAAAGTGTATGCAGCTATCCTAACAGGAAACAACTCGTCTCTTGGGTAATATGTAAGACAGTAAAAAAAAAACAAAAACCCATAGATGGCTGCCATTAATCATGGTGCTAGTATGATGTCTGACATTCCCCCCCGCCCCATCTGAATTAGTAATTTGAGTCCTTGGGCTCTTCAGTTAATAGGCAGTGTCTTTACATTTACCCAGTATAGAAAATGAGAGTCAAGTTAGCTGAAAAGTTGCAATGTGATTCTGTCTCCATAAGGTCTCTCTGCCTATTGAGAACTTAGTAATGACTTGGAATGCCTGTCAATAGATGCATCTACTCTCCTAATCAATTGGATTTTAATGTGGAACAAAGTGATGAGCTTTACATTTGTAAAAATTAATCCTTTGCGTATGGGTCTAACAACTTTTTGGAATGTTACTTCTATCATTATTTTTGAAGAAATGTCCCACTAGCTTGCTTGAGAGAAAACCCAAAAAACCCAAACCACTGCCATTAAGTTGATTTGATGGGGTTTCCAAGACTGTAAATCTTTCCGCCAGGAGCCAGCGTTATCTCTCTCCTGAGGAGTGACTGATGGTTAGAACCATTGACCTTCTGGTTAGCAGCCTAATAGCGAACCCACAGTGCCTCCAGGGCCCTTTGGTTTGACAGAAGCATGAGTTAAGTGATTCCTCCATCCAAGCTTCCCCTTACCTCACATTTCTTAAGCAAAAGTCCTAACAGGCAAGCAATAATTGCCTGAAATAAAATTGTTGTTGTTAAGTGCTGTCGAGTTGGTTCTGACTCATAGCAGCTGTGTATAGGGTTTCCGAGGAGTGGCTGGTGAGCTTTAACTGCTGATCTTGCAGTTCAAACTGACCTTGCAGTCCAGCGCATTAACCCACAGCACCACACCAGGACTGAAGGGACAAATGAATGTGGAAATGAGGCAGATGTCAAATGTCACCAGTGACTGCCATTTTCTAGGCACCTAGGTCTAGTAACTCTTCTTTTGGGAAAGGATAATATGCTAACCTTATCAATGGATTTTCTTCAAAATACAAAGAAAAACAGTCACCAAGACAGCATATATACTAAAAATATTTGGTTTCATGCTTAGAGCTGGTTGAATGTCAGTGGTGGATAGAACCTGTTTTTATTATATGTATTTTTATGTACTTTTTTTTTTTATATATACATATACTTGTTTTTGTAGTACAATTTTAAAATCTTGTTTCTTAAAAATAAATGCAGGAGCTGTCCAGTGTTATGCATTGGAAGTTAACTTGACAGATTCAGGAAAAGCTACTTGCCTTTATGCAAAATGGCAGATGAAATTCCAAATACGTTATGAAACTACAAGCAACATTTATGTAAGTAAATGGTTTTCTTGGGGTTTTACAGTAGGAATTTAATTCTGATTCTTTAAAAAAAAATCTTTTAAGTACATTTATACAGCAAGGTTTCATATGCTGACTAACTTAACATAAAAAAAAAATTTTTTTTTGGACACATACACTTGAAGGAGCTCTGGTAGCATAATGGTTATAAGTTGAGCTGCTTACCTCAAGGTCAGAAGTTCGAAACTACCAGCTGTTATTTGGGAGAAAGATGAGGCTTTCTGCTCCCATAAAGATTTACAGCGTCAGAAACCCTATATGGGTCACTATGAGTTGAAACTGACTCCTTGGCACGTAACCAAGCAACCAACGATATACTTGAAGGTATTCTGTTTCATGCTGAAATGAATATTCTAATTTATTGGTTCTTTGGAGTTTTCTTAAAGGCAAATGTTCTGAAGATTATATGGTGTTCAGGCCTAACTACTGTGATGTTTTTAAAACATAATAACATCAAAGCTTGCCCTGTTTTAATAGCTTGTTATTAAAATCTCCTTTATCTTGTTCTCCTCTCAGTCCTTTTTTGTGAATTTTTTTTTTAATGTTTTATTGTGAATTATGTGACAGTTTACATGGGAGAACATTAGTTTTACATTCATCCTATCGTATATCGTTTCATTGCCATGGTTACAATCCCCTCCATGTATCATCAACCATCCAAAGGGTATACACTACAAGCCTGCCCCCCGGTCGTCAGCACACAGCCCCTCTCCCTCTCTGTGTCTAAAGTTCCCAACTGCTCCATCTCTCCACGTCATCGTCTCTGCCTCCATCTCAGGCATCACTGCTTCTCTGGGTAGGGTCCTGCTCTCCGCTCTTCTCCATTGATGGTCCCAGGGACCTCTGCTCCTAGACTTCAAAGTCAATCATTCCCCTCCTTGCTATAAAACGTGTACCTTTACATTTCCAACCCTCACAATCAGTCCTGATAACAATTATTCACTATTGTATCACAAGAGACCCATCGCATTTCATTTCATCAGCCCTGCCTAGACAGATTGGATAATACTCAGTGGAGATTCTACCTTCCTCCACGCCCTCTGGATCTAGGTTCCCTCTTGAAAGCTTATAAGCCAGTCACTTCTTGCCTTTGTAGCCCCCCCGATTTTGGGTAGTCAATGTCCAAGTTGCCTATCCCTGTCTACTCTGTGTATGGAGGGGGTGGGAATCATCCTTGATGTACAGATTTGTTCTTTCATGATCTTTTTGAAGTCCCCGCATATATAGCAAAACACACACCAGTTCAACAGTTTCTGCATTGAAAATTCAGTGAGTGGTGCAATCATTCTCACCCTCCATTTCTGAATTGTTCCACCCTCATTAACAGAAATTAACTGCCCCCCCAAGTTTCCTATCTAATCTTTTGAGTTGCTATTGTCAATTTGATCCCATACAAATAGATCTTAATGCTCAAGGCAGACCTTTTCGCTAGTTAAGCTAAACTATTATTTGGTTTTAAGAAGACTTCAGGGGTTATTTTGGTTTAAGGTTAAAAGATTATCTCAGGACACCTCTCATTCCTTTGCCTTCTTATTTTCTTTTAATTACAGTCCTACTGATTTATAACCTAAGTTTTTAAAGATCAGCTTAAGAACAGGCTAGTTTATGTTCAGATCAGTTTCCCATTTCCCTTGATGTAAATTGCTGTTGTTGTTAAGTGCTGTTAAGTCGGTTCCAACTCATATCTACTCTATACGGTTTCTGAGGAGTGCCTGGCGGATTTGAACCTCCGACCTTGCAGTTAGCACTCCACTGCTTATCCTACAGCGTCACACCAGGACTCCATAAATTTGTCTGGAGAACTGGTGTTTAGCTGAAGGATCTGTGACTGGTTTATACAGCAAACCATTCAAAGGGCAACCTGGCTGTCAGAGATGTGTGTGATTTAAACTGAAGTGTCCTAGCCTGCATAAATGTATGGTACTCATTACTATCTTTTTGTTTCCTGCCTCCACACATCTCGGTCTTTTAGAAAAATGTAACCATTTCAGACCTTGGAACTCCAACATATAATGGAAGCATTTGTGGTGATGACCAGAATGGTTCCAGAATAGTGGTACAGTTTGGATCTGGATTTTCCTGGAGTGTGAATTTTACAAAGGAGACAAATCCATATTCAATTGAGAGCATCTCATTCTCCTACAACATTAGTGATAACACAACATTTCCTGAAGCTAAAGATAAAGGTAACCTTGAGAGTTGGATTGATTATATCATTTTGCTTTTTATTAATAATAATAAAAGTAGTTTAGAAATCATCATTATACATGTTTGTCTTCCTAATGAGATAAAAAGCTTCATCTCTGCATGGTAGGTCCAGTGTTCAACATAGTGATAGTTGCTGTCATTGCTTGAATGTTTTACTGGGTATAAGGTAGTATTTCCCAAGTCCTGTAGCGTCTCACTTCATCTTTAATGGTAATCCTGTGAAGCAGATATTCTCTCAGATTTTATAGGTAAAGAGACTGAGGTTTGATGAAATTCAGTGACTTTTCCCCAAGTTCACACAGTCTAGTAAGTGTTTGAACTAGTAAGCTTGTGTTTGAACTAAAGTCTCTTGAGCTAGGGTATTCATTCCCTTGATCATCATTATTTATTTCATTCACTAGTGGGCACTCAGTAAATGTGAAATGAATGAGAAAATCTTTTTTAAAAAACAATGTCAGTGTATTCAAGAATCTTTGAGACTATCAGGAATGGTTAATTTTAAGTTCTTTTTAATTTTTTAAATTTACCATTCAGGTAGAATTTTAACAGAAAAGCAAATGATGATTGGTTAAAGAGAAAATGACAGGAGGCAACATTGGCTGCTATTCTGAGACAGTCTCAGGTCAAAATGAACTTGGGAAGGCATTGGCAATTAGGCCATTCTTATAATTCCCAGAAGTGACGTGTATTAAGGCATGGATGGTGGAGATTTAAATTTTGTTAGGGGTACAAGTATAGTTCTTTTTTATTCCCACCCCTATTAAGATGGGGTTACCATGGTGTTTGTAGCTTAGTTTTTCTCTCAGAAAGCCCCTTCACGTTGACCTCAGGAACACAGGTGGATGGCCTTCAGATCTCAAGAGGATTGGCTCATTTGGATATCAAAGGGTTTCATTTTAAAGACCCAGAAGTGAATGAGTTTTTGTAAAACTTGGGAGATACCTCAAAAGGAAACTTAGAAAACAATCCTAGTTTTCTTTTTACTGATCTGTTAAGTTGAGAAGGTAACTAAGACTAGTGGTTATTGGCTATGCTACGTAGGAATTTAGCTTTGTGTCCTGTAGTGTCATAAGATTCACTCCTGACTCTTCAAAAGCTTAAAAACTAAGTGGAGAAGCAAAGCTAAATTGTTTCCCCAAGTTGTTGTTGTTGTTGGTTGGGTGTAGTTGAGCAGAAAACCTCATTTTTCTCCTGAGGAGCAGCTGGTGGATTCAAACTGCTGACCTTGTGGTTAAGCAACCCAATTCGTAACCCCCTATGCCACCAGGGCTCCTTGTTTTCCCAAGTCATATGTAAAAAATGGGAAAACGTTGAGGTCAGTGTAATTTTTTTTTTTTTTTTTTGGAGGGTGTGGGTGGACTAGAGGGTTTGTAAATCTTTTCTGACCATCGGATGAAAATCATAGACCCTCTCAGAAAAGAAAAAGTGCATATTAAACTTTGCTTGTGGGTTCCATAGCCCCTGAGCCCTCTGATTGGGCGTGTCTGATTTCTAAGCATTTAAAAACAAGTGCTTCTGATATGGAGCCTAAGGAAAGGTGAGATAACTTGGTAGGATAAGTAGGACTTGAGCTGGAAGTGGTCTTCTTGCAGCAGGATATTTCCAGCCAGGGGGAAGCATGGTATGTGCAGCAGTAGCTGGAGAACTGCCTGGTTAAAAGAGGCTGTGTACTATGTAGGAGAAGGAAAATCAAGTTGTCTAGGTGCAGTGGGCCTAAATTATAAAGGGCCTTGAAAGCCAAGGAAAGGCATTTAGTTCTTGGGGTAGGCCCTGGGCAACCATTTTAGGATTTTAAGTAGGAAATTTATATAACAAAAGCAAAGGCAATAGTTTATAAAGAACATTCTGCAGGAATAACTTGGAAATGAGGAGAGTTCAGGCAGGGATGCCAGTTTAAGAGGCTGTTATAGTAATCAAAGGATTCCTTGTGCCTGAACCAAGAGGGTAGCAGTAAAAATGGCAGAGGGGGTTCGGCTAATCTGATGCATGTGAATGGAGCGAACTGGAAATCTTAGCACCTATCCCTTCTCCTTTTTATCTGAAACAAGGGGAGGATACAATATTTTATTACTAGCTTCTATATAGTAAAACTTTTTATAAACTATTTAGGATTTTAAATGCCTTCTTAAATGGACTGTTGTTGATAATTGGTTTTGAAATAAACGGCTGTATTATTACGAGGCATCTTATCATTGAAGACACTCTGAAACTACTGTTTTATTTTTTAAAACTTTTTCACGATTTCATGGTTAAAATACAGAAAAGAACAATAGACCCACATGTTCATGACCCAGAATTAGTAAATATAATTTTTAAATATTTGTACGATCTCTATTTAAGTAAATATGGATAGAGTTAAGATTTCCTTTATACCTACTCCCCAGTTCCATTTTTCTCCATCCCTCCCGAGAAACAACCACTTTCATGAATTTGATGTGCATTCTGCCTGTTCACGTGTTTATATTTTACTATATATGCATAGATCTACTACTCTTATAGTTTCATAGTGTGATGCTATTATGTTTGTAACTTGTTTTTCACTCATTTGTTTTTGAGATCTGTCTGCATACAGCCAGTGTATATATCTATTTACTTATGCTAACTGTCAAAACAGTTTTAGGCAAAATGGTCTAGTTGATCAGTTAAGAACATTCCCTTAGCCACTGGGGAGGGGGAAGTGGGGTGTCAGGGGTAGCCAAGGCAACATTCATTGGCTGCCTTTGCTGCATAATAAAGAAGTACAAAAAGCAGTTCATATTAAGGACCTCCAGTATCTTCCTGCTGCGCAAGACCTTTTAAAAGTGTTGAACCTTTTAAAAGTCTCTGGAGAGGGATATCATGTTTGGTAAGGTGGAATGTCAGAAAAAAAGAGGAAGACACCCAGCAAGATGGATTGGCAAAGTGTCAGCATCAATGGGCTCAAGTGTGGCAACAATTGTGAGGTTGGCCCAGGACCAGGCAGTGTTTAGTTCTGTTGTGCATAGGGTCGCTATGAGTCGGTACTGACTCGATGGCACCTAATAACAAGTACCTTTGTTCCTTGCTTCTTCTCAAAAAAAGACTAAGTCAATTGTGCGATCATGGCCATTTGAAGTACATGTGTGTGAGATTTTTCCCAAGTTACACTGTTCTCATTATAATGAAAGTCTGAATCTGTATGGAATGCATATAATGTACTGATTTAATATTCTGAAGATTTCCTGAAGTAGAATAGCCTTTATATTATGTCAAGGAAGACTATTATATTAATTTTGGGACATTAGCAGAAAAACAGGATTTATTATTGAAGGATCAACGGAATGGTATTGCAACTACTCCCGCACAAATCTCCATAGCCCCTCCCAAAATCTCCATAGCCCCACCCATTGTAAACTCGCCAGAACTGTACCAAGACCACACCGCCTTTAAATACTCCAGTCTGTAAGAGAATGGATGGGCTCTTGGTCTCCTTTGGAGACTTAAGAGTACTCCCTCCCAGGTTTACTCTCAAATCTGCCTGCTGTTAAAGCCAAGACTCTCTCCTTTGTCTCTTTCTTTCTTTTCCTTACAATTATAAAACCTTTGATTAATGCATTTCTGTTCTTCCTTGTTAATTCACCACGTCCTATTGATTTTACCTTAGATATGTGTCATCACGTTGGCTTCTTTGCTCTCTCCTTGTAGCCCTTCATGATCTTATTTTACGTAACCCCTCACCTTTCACCTTAGTCAGACCATTAGCCTTCTGATTTTCTTCTTAAGTGGCTTCCCTTAAAATGGTTTCCCCATGCCTTGTTGTTAAGTGCCATCGAGTCAATACTGACCCATAGCAACCTTATGCACAGCAGAATGAAACACTGCCTGATCCTGGGCCAACCTCACTACTGTTGCCACACTTGAGTCAATTGATGCTGCTAATTGACCAATCCATCACATTGGGGGTCTTCCTCTTTTTCTCTGACCCTCCATGCCTAGCCCCTACAATTTGGTTGTTGAAATTAAAATAAAATGTATGTTTGTTATTTCCTGTTTTAAAAATGGAAGTTAGATTTCTATTGCTAGTAAAATAAAACCCAAAGTACGACCACCCACTTGCAACTTGTTCCTTTTCATCCCTCTTAACCTCCATCTGATTCCTTGTGTTCAAACAGTGGTAAAATGGGCATTCCCTGAACATGCCATGCCGTTTGTCATTTAGGGGATGGGGTGGAGCAGGTGGAGAGAAGACGAAGGAAGCCTACATAAATGTTTTTATATTGGCACTTTTATCCTACCTGCTTGGAAACAACTATTGTTATTTTGTTTTGTAGGAATTATTACTGTTTCTGACGCTGTGGCAATTGAAATTCCATTGAATAACATCTTTAGATGTAATAGCTTATCAACTATAGACAGTAATTATGTTGTTCAGCAATACTGGGATATTCTTGTGCAAGCTTTTGTCCAAAATGGTACAGTAAGCACAAAAGGTGAGTATGCTTCAATACTTGAGTCCTAATTTAAGATTATTGTTGTTGTGTGCCTTCGAGTTGGTTCTGACTCATAGTAACCCTATATAGGGTTTCTGAGAGTGGCTGTTGGGTTTGAACTGCCAATCTCGTGGTTACCAGTTCAATACTTATCCTTCCTATAGCACCATTCCAGGACTTAATTGAAGATTTGATATACATGCATATAATTTTAGTTGACATTATTATCTGAAAGCACTTGTATATTAAGACTTATTTGTAGACTGTAAAGTCTGTTTTCAGTTGTTGACTATCAAGTTCTTAAAAAAAAAAAATGGTAGCAATTCTTAGTCTTATGGAGCTTGCAGCTCTAAGTTTATGGTGTACAGGCGGTGGCTCCATAGGATAGGCATTGGACTGTGAACCACAAGCTTGGCAGTTGGAGCTTCGCAGGAGAAAGGTAAGGCTTTCTGCTCCCACAAAAGATTTTAAGCCTCAGAAATCCTATACAGGGTCTCTATAAGTCAAAATCAACTCCACAGCTCTTAAAACAACAACCTTTATTAATGTTTTAGCTGATAAAATGTAATCTTTGAACAGCTCTTCAAACAGCTTGTTCATCATCAGGTCTTTAGAAGTTCCAAAACCAAAGTATAAAGATTAGACTTTTGTGTTCTAATCTTTAATTTTGTAAACTTCATATGACTTTATGGATTCTCTGGGTGGTGCATATGTTTAAGTGCTTGTCTACTAAGCAGTTTGGATCCACCTAGAATCACCTCAGAAGACAAGTCTAGTGATCTGCTTCCAAAAGATCATAGTCATTGAAAACTCTGTGGGGCACAGCTCTACTCTGACACACGGTAGAGCTGAAATTGACTTGATGATTAGTGGATTGTTTTGTTTTATATGACTTTATAGAAATGTAATAATCTCTCATTCACCAGTTTTGGGAAACTACCAACACTTCCTCAGAACTATTTTGTTCTTCAGTGAAAAAGATATCCACTTTATTATTATTTGTTTGTTTTAGAGTTTCTGTGTGATAAAGATAAAACTTCAACAACAGTGGCACCCATCATTCACACCACTGTGCCATCTCCTACTGTAAAACCCACTCCAAAGGGAAAACCAGAGGTTGGAACCTATTCGGTTAAAAATGATAATGGTACTTGTCTTCTGGCTACCATGGGGTTGCAGCTAAACATCACTCAAGATAAGGTATAGCTGACTATTTTTATTGATACATTCTTTGAGTATTTTTTTTCAAATATAATATATTCTACCTTCAGCCCTATGAAATCCTAGTGTGTCACTGTAGGATCAGCACTGGACTGCTAGCCACAAGGTTGGTGGTTCAAACTCACCAGCCACTCCTTGGAAACCCTATACAGGGTCACTATGAGTCAGAACAGACTCGATGGCACTTAACATCAACCTTTAGCCCAAGAATAGTCATTATTAGAATGATTCCATTTTAAATGAATATTTGATGTTGACTTGTTGGGTTCGGAATTCCTATAGCGGTGAAGAGTTATTGTAGCTTTAAAGATGTTGTTTTGGCCAGGAGGAAGCCTAGCAGTTTAAAAAAGCTCTTTTGGGCTTAGATTTCACTTACCATCACGGTTGTTGTTGTTGTGAAGTGCTGTTGAATCGATTGCGACCCATAGCAACTCTGTATAGGGTTTCCGAGGAGCAGCTGGTGAGCTTGAACCGCCGACCTTGCAGTTCAAACGACTTTGCAGTCTGGTGCATTAACCCACAGCGCCACACCAGGACTCCTACCATCACTAAGATTGTTACTTTTTAGCGAAATGACAGATTGGCACATAAAATAAAGGCTATTACCTGTGAGTATGGGGTTCCATTAAAAAAAAAAAGTCTCTATGAGACCACAGGAGACCTGGTGTGATGCTGTAGGATAAGCACTAGACCACAAGGTAGGTTTGAATCACAAGGCCCGTGGTTTGAGCTTACCAGCTGCTCCTCGGAAACCCTATACAGCGTCACTATGAGTTGGAACCAACAACAATAACAACATGAGACCAAAAGATCAGCAATTATTCTAAAGCAAAGATGGGAAGACAAAGGGGAGTGCAGGGAAACTAGGGTTCTCAAAACAGAACAACTAGAACTTAATTCGCGAGAATGTTGACACATGGTGAAAAATGAAACTAATGTCACAGAACCTAATTTGCTGTGGAAACTTTCACTGAAAATGCAATGAAATATTATTTAAAAATGGAAAGACTGCAAGTACCTGATCTTTATTTTAGTTCATTGAAAATGTTACTCTGACACAGTTTTATCTGAAATGCACTGTATGTAGGTTGATATAGGAGAACAGTGGAACTATCCGTTGCTCTAGCTTGGATTGTATAAATATGCTCAAGTACATAATGGCACTGTAGTGTTCTACTAAAGCTACAGCGAGAGTACCAACAAATAAATCCCACTGCCAGGATGCTGTGACTTAGACAAACTAGGCAGATGACTGTGTGCTTTTATTTGGCTCATTACTGAGGAAGCTTCCCTCTTTCTTCTTCATCTTTTTTTTTTTAAGTCTTCTGAGTCATCGCTTGAGGGCCTGAGCCAACTTTGTTGAAAGTAAGACACCATAAATTAAGGTAGCCGGACAAAGGATGTTTTGCTCTGCACTGAATTTGATATTATTAGAGTTTAAGGCTTTCCTTTAGATTTTTATCGTAATCTGTATATTTCCCGCTTTTCTTTCCCTGAAGGCTGTTTCAGTTCTTAACATCAACCCCAATACAACTGACTTTACTGGTAGCTGCCATCCTCAAACTGCTCTCCTAAGGTTGAATAGCAGCAACATCAACTATCTTGACTTTGTCTTTGCTGTGGTGAGTAACATACGTTTCTCAAGTTTATTTCATTCTCCTAGAAATACATCTGAAAGTCTGACTAGCTACCTGTGGGGAGTATTTAGCTTTATTTTCCATTTCAATACTACTTAACTGTAAACATTAATTAACTAATTCCTGTTAATCTTTAGGGTTTCCTCAGAGGTCTGTGGGTGGACCTAAAAGTGGCCATGCTCCATTCAAGGCACAACAATTGGTCTCTATATATTTGCCTAGAACAACAAAGAGAAGGAGAATCAGGAATAGAAGGAGGATATGGGATGTGTGGCTAATTGCTTCAATAAACAGCTGTCCCTAAGTCGCCATGAGACCAGAACTGGATGGTGCCGGCTACCATTACTAAGCATTTTTTATTAAGATTCTATAGAAGAATCCTGATTATAAGAGGGGAAACAGAACAGAATTTTATATTCACATGGACTCCAGACTTTCTGGAGCCATGAAGGTTGGATGAACTCCTGAATTTATTGTCCTGAGAGATAATCTTTAAACCCTAAACCAGAAATACCCACTGAAGTCTACTTAGAACCAAATAATAGTTTAGCTTCTCTAATAAAAGAGGTCTGCCTTGAACATTATGTTCTTTTGAGAACTATCTCTATGAGATCAAAGTGGCAGCAGCAATTTGAAAGATTAGATAGGAATCTTATGGGACAGTGAGTTTTATGTTAATGAGGGAGGAACAGCTCACAAAAGGAAGGTGAGAAAGGTTGAACAACTCAAAGTATGTAACCATTGGAACAAGTAGAAACTATTGAATTGGTGTATGTATCACTGTGTATATTTTTAACAACAGAATACAGAAATTAAAAAAAGAAGCGTGGCCAAGGTGCTTATTATGTAGATCCTAAAGTACCACCAGTGGAGTCCTGGTGTGGTGCTGTAGGATAAACACTGGACTGCTAACCACAAGGTTGGTGATTCAAACCCTCCAGCAGTTTCTCAGAGTGGAGTCCTGTTATGGCGCTGTAGGATAAACACTGGACTGACTGCTAACTACAAGGTCAGTGATTCAAACCCACCAGCAGTTCCTTGGAAACCCTATACAGGATCGTTATGAGTTGGAACTGACTCCACGGCACTTAACAACTAACAACAAAGTAGCAGCAAAAATTAAGCCACCTCAAAAAAAAAACAAAAACAAAACGATATATTTAATCTAGACATATATAAGTAATTCCATGATAGTGTTTTTCTCCATTATTGGTTAGAAAAGTTCCATGTTTGTCTGTAATACTTTAGGCCTTTTGGTGGATATACTATTTATAGTCACAGTGTCAGTAATAATACTAGCTAGCTTTGAGTACTTACTATGTACAAGGTTCTATCTAAGTACTTTACATGCATTAATTCATTAAACCGAGATAGTGTATAATGACAACCTGCAGATTTTTGTGGTGGTCCTTGCTTCTATCAAGGATTGAACCTTAAACAGAAGGTTTCAGGTTAAGCAGACCTGTTCTGCTTCTTGCTAGCATAAATGAATCATCAGAGTCGTTTATTTCTACCTTCTCAGAAGCAATGATTACTCCATACTTTGTGCAAGGTGTGTGTGTGTATGCACGTTATGACATAATGGAAGTAGTGGAAGAAGCCGTGTGCAGATTGGCTCTTCAGTTGTATGTTGGGGGTTGGGGACAATGTTGAGAACCACCGATGTAAAACATGGTTCCACAAACTAGGAGTATTTGTATAAATGGATTAAAAATAAAAGTTCTGCTTTAAAATTAGATTGCTTAATCTGGGAATGGAGAGATAGTATCAGCATCTGGTATGCAAAAGTAGGTATATTGTTTAGTTGTTTTATATGTGAACTTGGTATCTTGTATCTAAAGCCTTTTTTTCGTTATAAGAATATATACTGAGTAATTGTGGATTGTCTTAGGTATTTGTATATGAGAAAGGTCCACAATATTTTTTTTCTTTTCCTAGCATTCAAATCTTCTCTCTGTTATAATACAAATCTGAGGGGGTTTCAAAAAGTTCATGAGGAAATTCCATGATCTTTTAATTCAGTTTTTCCATTAATTTTTCAAAGTTCCCTCATAAACCAAGTGAGTGACTATTGAAAATGTTGAATGAAGCTTATCCTCTTTAATATGATAACAGGAGGCCTCCCCAAACACATTCTCTTTTTAAAGTTATTGCATCAGGATTATAGTTGATAAGAACAAGGAAAATAATGCTTGCGGCTCATTCCCTTTTGAGTGATTGAGTTCTTTCGAGTTATGGATAGGCTCCTAAAAGAAACAAGATTTCTTCTGCATTTCATGGGGAAATATTTAATATTTGGCAATTGCGAGATTTAATTTGCATGGTAAACCAATTTAAAATGTGATCCAAAATAGTGACAGTTTAGGCCTTATGGAAGGTATACTGTTTTATAGTCAAAGTATCAGCACTTTGAAAAGTCAAGAAATGCCTGTAATGTCTACCCGTTTCACTTTCAGCTTGGGTATGGTAGGTGCTTCTAAGGATTATTTATGGATCTTGAGTGTCTTATGTGCAGATGCTATGGTGGGATTCAGAGAAGAAGGCTTGTGGTCTTAAGGTGTCCACAGTTCAGTGTAAAGATAGAGATGTGCAACTTTTTTTTTCTTAAATGCCATGCTAAAGCTTTTGAACTTGATTCTGTGAGCAATATAGTATAGTGAATGGTGCATACAAGGTGGGATGAAAGCTGTACCTGAGGTATAAATGAAGTGCTGTGGGAGAATTGAGGAGGGGGGGCGGGGTTTCTTCTTCTGACAGGAGGAGAATCAGGGAGGTTCAGTGGACGAGATGGCCTTTGGGCAAGACCTTCAAGGCTAGGTAAGATTTGTACATGTAGAAATAAGACGAGTGAAAAAGTAGAGGTTATCCTTGGATAAAGGAATGTCATCCAGTACAGCGGGGAGAATGAGGTATGTGGCATGCTTAGTGCAAGGTTACTATGGAAAAGTTGTTAAGTACTGTGGAATTGGTTCCGACCCACTACGCTACCAGAGCTCCTTTATGGAAAAGTAGTTGGGACCAATTATGGAAAGCCTTGAATACCAAGCAGAGACATGGCCTAAGCAGAGGAGGGGCACAGTAAGGTTGAAAAACCCTTCTTTATGCTTCCTCCTGAATTTTTTTTTCCTGTGTCTGTCCTATTTTTTAAATTTCTCTGGCCTGGTTGTAACTCATGTTAACTCTTGCCTAGACTATTCAAACAGCCTTCTAACTGTTGTTGTTGTTGTTAAGTGCTGTTGAGTCAGTTCCAACCCATAGCTACCCCTGTATAGGGTTTCCGAGGAGCAGCTGATGAGCTTGAACCACCAACCTTGTGGTTCGAACCGACTTTGCAGTCCAGCGCATTAACTCTCAGCGCCACACAGGGACTCCTCCTAACTAGTCCCTTCTTTTCCTCTCCCAGACCCCCACTGTCTTCTGCATCTACATAATCTTCCTAAAATATGCTGAGTCTGTGTTGCCTATAGGTAACCACTAGACCACACAACAGGGTATTCAAATCCACTTTCATCATACTGTGAAACCGGTATTTTCAGCCTTTGTTTCTTTTGCTTCCTCTTCAGGAAACATAAGCTTCCTTCCCACTGTCCCCAGTACACATCTTGTTGGGCAGGAGAGCACAGTGATCACCGGTTCTTACGCTTTGCTGTCGGAATTCCTGGGCTCCAAATCTGGCTCAGCAGCTACTTACTTACTGTAGTATATCTTTAGGGGAAGTTACTTAACCTCAGTGCTTCCATTACCCTGGCTCAAAATGGAACTGATAAGAACATAAGGATGTTGCATTCTGTGATGCTTCATATGTAAAGCATTAAAGGATAGTGCTTGGCACTTACTAAGTTCTCAGTAAATGTTGTCATTCTTGTGAGTGTTTTTTTGTTTTTGCTTTTTTTTTTTAATTATCCTTGGCAGATTGCAAACATGGCAAGGGCAAGATCCAAGTCTGATTCATTTTGCTAGCTCCATGGAGCACTGGAACATGTTACCTTGAACAATAGTGATCACTCAAATAATTAGAAGGACTGCGGATCAGATCAGGAGCCCTGGTGATACAGTGGTTAAGTGCTCGGTTGTTAACCAAGAGGTCTGTGGTTCAAACCCACAAGCCACTCTGCGGGGGAAAAATATGGCAGTCTGCTTTTGGAAAGATTGTTTTTGTTAAGTGTCGTCAAGTTGGTTCCGACTCATGTGACCCTGTACAGGGTTTCCGAGGCTGTAAATCTTTGCAGGAGCAGAAAGCCTCATCTTTCTCCCATAGAGCAGCTGGTGGACTTGAAACACCCATCTATGGTTCGTAGTCCAGTATTTATCTTACAGAGTCTTGAAAGCCTGATGGGGGCAGTTCTACTCTCTCCTGTCGGGTCCCTATGAGTTGTAATCGAATCATGGTAGTGATTTGCTTTGTGTGTGGGAGCTGGGGGCTGATCCAATGAGTGCTGCAGAAAGATAACTCATTACAATGAGAAGGAAAGATGAGAGCTGGAAGAGGCAGAAATACAATGAGACCAGTGAAGAGAGTATTGTGATTCTGGTTAGAGGTAGTGAGGGCTCAAAAGTAAGTGACAGGGAGGAGGGAATGAATTGTTGAGTATCCATGAACCACATGACTATAGCTGGGGGCCCAAAATCTGGAACTAAATGCAGAGGAAAAGGGTTGCCGTCTCATTTTGAGTTCTCCTTTACTTACTTGCAGTTTAGTGTACAGGCCTGGGTCTGATCCATGGCTTCATCTTCAGTGTAATAGCAGTTTTAGCTTGCTTTTATTCTATAGATATTAACTGTACCTGTTGTTAGGTGTCAACGAGTTGGTACCGACCCATAGCGACCTTATGCACAGCAGAATGAAACACTACCCTATCATGGGCCAACCTCACTACAGTTGCCAAGTTTGAGTCCATTAATACTGCCACTTGGCCAATCAATCTTCTCTGGCCCTCCACCTTACCAAACATGATATCCTTCTCCAGTGACTGG